AATATGTTCATCGATATATCAAAATACAACTTCTGATAAATTTTGGTTATCGGCAGACAAACAGAATTCATCATTGAGCTTCTTATGAGTCAAGAAACATGGTTTTTCTCTCATTTTCCTTGATTTTTGACTGATATTAAGCTCAATAATGAAATAATTTTCATGTAATTTCATAAATATTATAATATTTAACTGTCTCTGTCTGCTCGACGGACTGGCCGCGCTTCGCGACCTTCCCCGTCGGCCGTTGGTGGGGTCGAAGTTCCCTAAAAAAATAAAAATGAGTAGCAAGAACGCTTCGAATGTCAGAAATGAAAAATGTCAAATTTTAATACATTTTACACCTAGTTCGATAAATACCTATAATTGAGTAATTCTTCGTCATCGGGTACTTTAGATATGAGATCAAGCAATTCGTTATTAGGTATCGAATGAGGCCTAATAATTTTCTTCGTAAATTTAATAATGCCCAATAGCCCATGCTCATTAAAAAATTCGATCCCGTTTTCCGGAAAAACTGTTAAATGGAATGGAATGAAATCAATTATGGGAGATAACAATGCTCGGTCGCTCAAAATCGGGTCTTCGGCATCACCTTAAAACATCCCTGGTAGCAAAATCTTTTGCAATTATATGCAAATCTGTTAAAAGTAGCAGTATTTAAGAAAAGTTGAGTCAGAAGAGCCACTGTTAACTTCTGCAGACAATGCAATTTCTGTTGAATATTTAAACGTCAGTAATCTTGCTCAAGAATTTGATAATCTTCGCAATCAAAATATAATGGGTTCTGCATTTGGTTTTTTGCAATTTTTATGATGTCATAATTGAATAAAAATTGCATAAAAATTTTTTCGTGAGTATAACGAGGAAGTATTGTACAATACTTGAAAAAATTGTATGAATTTGAAATTTTTATGATTTCAAGTTAAATTACATAAACTTTCTAGTAGGTGCATTGAAGTAATTTGTCAAAAACATCTTGCATGGTTATTGCACGACATTTACACATGAAAAATTAGTTTTATAAACCATTACTTTATCAAAGCATCTTGAAACAGAATTAATGTAAAACTAGATAAGAACGAGACAAGCAAGTTCGAGTAACAGTTTTTATCAAAACCTATTGCGTAATAATTAACCGGCCAAAGAGGCATTTATGACTTTTCGCATCTTTTTTAGCGAAATATTGATGTGAAACATCTATATTCGCGTTTGGTGTCAGGGGTAAACCCGTAAAAACCGAGCGTCCGTCCGTCCGTCCGTCCGAGCGAGCGCAACTTTGGTAGTAGAACTGCCTATACAGCGTCGGTTTGCGCTACGCGCTGTGATTGACTGCCGCGCCAGCTACAGAACTGCTTTCTGCTGCTGCCCGCTGCGGAGACTCGACGCGCGTATGCCTGTGTTTACGTATACGCACGAGGCAACGTAACAGCATAAGCAACAGCAGTCGGCTCAGCTCACGGGATTGACTGCGTTGAGATATCTTTCTCTCTCTTGCTTATGCGTATCGCTAATACATATAATACGTATGTGTTGTCTATGCGTATACGTCGCGAGACTATGCACTATCATGCACGTTGTCAAATCTGATACTTATTACTGCATGTATGTATACGTGTCTCTCAGTGTGTGTCTTCTTAAAGGAAGTCGACATTTTTATCATGTTATATTAACATACAACGAATGATAATAGCTCAATGCACTTATTTGATTAATAAAACAAATTGAAAATTGAAAAAATTAAAAAAAATCAGCTGTTTATGAACAGCTGCAAGATGTGAAACATCTTTATAAATTAATTAAAGAAAATTGAAGAATTTAAAAGTAATCGAACAAGTAAAAGTCGAAACAAAAAAAGAAGTAAAAAATTAAAAACAAATTAAAACTTGAAAAATCAAAAAAAAATCAATTTAATACAAAAATCTAAAATCAAACAAGTAAAAAGTGAGAAAACAAAAATACAAAAAACATGAATCAAAAAAACGAGGAAATCAAGAAAAATCAAGAAAAAGGAAAGTCAGAAAATCCCAACACAAGCATCGATGTTTCACATCTGGTGCGCTAAAGCTCGAGAAACTACTCAACTCTCTTGATTACTTAACTCAATGAGAGGAAACGATTTGAAGAGTAAGCACGCATTGATAATGCACCAGATGTGAAACATCGATGCTTGTGTTGGGATTTTCTGACTTTTCTTTTTCTTGATTTTTCTTCATTTCCTCGTTTTTTTGATTCATGTTTTTTGTTCTTTTGTTTTCTCACTTTTTACTTGTTTGATTTTAGATTTTTGTATTAAATTGATTTTTTTTTGATTTTTTATACAAATTTGACATCAAATAAACTTATTTGATTGTGATAAATATTATCATTCATTTTCTAGCACACGATGACATTCTACATACCTCGGATCGTGTATGTGTGTGTAAGGACTTGTATATACTTTTTTAAAAACATCATACGTGTAAATATATATGTAGCGTTTAAAACGTATTTAAATTTGTGTCAAAACAACTCTTTAAAAAACTCGTGTTTTTTAACCTACGCCTACTTTTGAGATTCTGAACTACTGAATACTTGACTACTGAAAATATAATCCCGAAACGTGTAAGAATTTAATGGAAATAAAATTACTTTTGCATAAGTACACAAGTTTCATTGTAATATTCATGAACTTTATACCATTCTTATAGTCTTGGAGACTCTTTTTTTTTTACTTATAAGTTAATTTGACGATAGATTTTCCTTATACATTATTGTTTGAGCTGCGAAATAAAAATGTTACATTACTCACCGATTATCCTGCAACAAAGAATTGAAGATGGCGAACTTCAACATTTATCAGAATCAGATAAATTAGAAATTGAAAAACAACTCGGACAAATGTATCCCTTGTTGGTGCCTTTTTTGAAAGCATCACATTCATGGCCTTTCTGGACTGGTATGAATAAATATAGACCGCTGATATCATTTGTATCTTACGTTTTATTGTTTATATCCACGGTAATTTCAATCGAAAATTTTTTGAACATTTCATATTGTTTAGATGAATAATTTGAAATAGCATGAAATTTGTATTAATGGTTATCATTTGCAGTTAATTTATTTAGTTGAAATAATGAGCAATAATGAAATAGAATTAAATAAAGTAGTGGAAGTAAGCATTCAAATTTGTTATCAGACTCTAACTCTTTTCGGCATGTATTTTTTAAATTTAGACAAAAATGGCTTCAAAGCGGTAAATATAATTACTTTTAATACCCTATTGAATTTTGATGAAAGTTTTGTGTTTTAATTAATTGAAGTCTTTTTAAATTTAATCGATATCATGTTGGAAGGTACAAGAGGCGATAGTTTTAATAACAAGGAATTATTGTCAATGTAGTTCCGAAGAAAAAAAGTTTCTACAAAATTACATAGATGCATCTAATTTCACTTCTTACTTAATCGCAGGTTATTTTTACAATTATTAAATTGAATAAATTTAACTAAACAATTTAATTATTTTTTAGGCCTCGTATGTGGATATTATACTATGTATATCATTGCAATTCCAATATTATGGCCAGTCACAGCAAATTTCATCTAGCCAGGAAATCAGATAAATCTAATTACTATTCACCTGGAATTATTCGTGGACCAGGACACGCACTTTTATTATTATTTTTTTGCTTTGTCTATACTATGTTATACGACGCAAGTATTTATTTCAAGTGAAACAATTGCTTATATATCGACAGTTTGCTACGTGTTAGGAAAATTTCGATTCCTGAGGTATTAAAAATGTTCCAATTCATGTATTGTTAATTAACATAAATAATTTCGTAGTTTTCTTTAATTAGATCTAAGTTAGAAAAGCTAACAAACTACTCTCGAACAAAAAATTCATTGGAAAAAGATGATGAAATTTTCAATCATGTCTCTCAGCTTGTTCAATTACATCAAGATTGTATTTAGTTAAGTGATAATATTGAGAATTATTTTATTTAATGATAATTAATTTTTTTTAATGATTAGTCACTTTGATTCACTGAATGCAGTAACGAGTCCTATCATATTCTGCGGTACATTAGGTTTGATCATCGCCCTTACCGTTTCCGGTTGTTTGGTGCCGTTTCAAATTTTTGTATTTGACGTTGAACTAGAACATTTTATAACCGTAGCTTCATTTTTCTTGCAGATGACAATTGTGTATAAGGAGAATATAAATCTAGCTCTGAGAATGGGTTTCGTATACATCGCGTGCGTCCTGTTTTTAATTATAACGAGCTATCCTTCGCAGTTGATCTTTGATGCTAGCGGGGATATTTTCGAGAGCTGGTAAACATGTTGATTCTCGTAAAGCATTAAAATTATTAAATGCTCACTGAGTGCACTTTGAGTATTTGTTGCATAAATAAGTAATGATTTATAAAAAATTTGACCCAAATAGCTATTACACTGACTGGTATAGATACTCTGTAAAAACCAGAAAAATGGTACAACTAATAATGATGAGGGCCGGCACACCTTCGTGTGTTAAAATTGTACCAAGCACACCGTGGAATTATAAATCAAGTCAGCAGGTACTTATAAATACTAGAAGTAAGATGTATTTCAACAATTACTTACTTATTTAATTACTTTTCATTTTAGGTTATAAATCTAACATCGTCATATGTTGTTTCCTTGATGTCTATTTATCATCATCGCAAATCCTAGATCTGCCTTGATAGTTGCTCCATATGTTTTATGTCTTGATGGAACTATTCTCCTTGATCTTCGCTAAAATCTCCACAGTTTACTAATCTACACAATTTACTAAGAGGGAATAATATGGAAGACATTAAGATTGTATAATCGAGGTTTTGAAAAACTTCGATTTTTTTGAATCAGTGTAATGTATACGTGTCTACGAGTGTGTGTCTTCTTAAGGGAAGTCGAAATTTTTATCATGTTATATTAAGATACAACTAACGATACCCACATAGCATGAACGCTTTCCAGAATCTTACAGAAAGCTTTCAGAAAAGTTTAGAGAGCTTCCAAAATACTTTCTTGAAAGCTTTCTGTAAGTACGAAATGTCTTCGACAAACCGGTCGCAAACAGGTTCCATGAAAGCTTCCCAAACCCTGGGACGAAGACTTTCAAGAAGCTTTTCTGAAAGATTAGAGAAAGTTTACATTTAAGGTTTCAAAAAAGTTTTTAAACAGCTTCCAGAAAGTTAAATAGCAAGCTTTCAAAAAAGTTTTTAAACAGCTTCCAGAAAGTTAAATAGCAAGCTTTCAAAACAGTTTCTAAACAGCTTGTAGAAAGTTAAATAGCAAGCTTTCAAAACCTTTTCAAAAACCTTTCAGAAACCTTTCAGAAAGTTTCCAAAAATCTATCAGAAATGTTTCAAAGTCACATTTCAGAAAAAATTTCAAAAAAATTTCATCGTAATATTTCACAAATTTACCAATTTCCTCCCATTCGTATTGACTGAAATATTACGTTGGACCCTTTTTGTAATATTTCATGTAGATTAATTTCGAAACATNTAAGAGAACCCAAATCGATGCTTTGAAATGAATAAAAAAGATTTTTTTAACAAAATTTCAATTTTCTAAATTTGTGCACGAGAGACTCGTCGAACAACGCATTGGCAGCGCACCGACTTGAATTGTTTGCGAGTAAAATCGTTTTTTTTTTGGTGCTTAGCCATATTTTCCGATGAAATAAATACAAGAATTGATTAAAGGACATATTCATCTTTGAAAAATGATATAATCCAGATTCGATTGTCGTCAAAGTTGTTATTAGAACCCAGAGTAACCCAAGTAACCCAAGTAACCCAAGTAACCCAAGTAACCCANCAAGAATTGATTAAAGGACATATTCATCTTTGAAAAATGATATAATCCAGATTCGATTGTCGTCAAAGTTGTTATTAGAACCCGCAGTGCTCGTGTAGATCCGAGCTCGCGTAGCCGCATTTTTCTCGATTTTTTTTGCACAAAAGTGACTGGGCACCCTGGCAAGAGTATCGATAATGTCCATGTGGTCCTTGTTTCTGAGTAATCTTAAAGATTAAGAGAACCCAAATCGATGCTTTGAAATGAATAAAAAAGATTTTTTTTAACAAAATTTCAATTTTCTAAATTTGTGCACGAGAGACTCGTCGAACAACGCATTGGCAGCGCACCGACTTGAATTGTTCGCGAGAAAAATCGTTTTTTTTTTGGTGCTTAGCCATATTTTCCGATGAAATAAATACAAGAATTGATTAAAGGACATATTCATCTTTGAAAAATGATATAATCCAGATTCGATTGTCGTCAAAGTTGTTATTAGAACCCAAGTAACCCAAGTAACCCAACATGTAATATGATACTTGGGTTACACCTAAGTTTTCGGTACTTTTTGTTGAAACTTTTTTTAGGACTCTTTCGGACCCTTTTCAATCATTTTAAGTGATAAAAATTGGGTTTCGTCGGTTCAATTTTTTTTGGCAACTTTTTTATTTTATATTTCTTATCTTTTACAACCAACTTGGTTCTGCAATGTGATACATTGATTTATAAAATCTACAATCGTCATTACATAAGAAAGAATCAGGTTATTGATTTTAAATGTAGAACTTCGGAATAATTGATTTTCGATTTGTATTTGACGTTGGTCTATAGGAAAAATAGGTGAAATTGTTATCTTAATTTTTTCAAGTTTTTACGAGCAATTATACAAGTTTGTTGTTGAAATATAGTCAATGTATGGCTTCTTTACTGCCATTTAAACTCTCTTTCAAACTTTTTTTATGCAAAAAGCATTCGAAAAATCAATCGCTTTCTGTGACGAATGAAGTCATACCAAAGACGCAAAAATAAATTTTCGTACTCCACTCTGTTATGCGGGAACGTCGAATTTTGATTAAGTTCGTTTGCCTTCGAACGGTAGCCCTGAGAAGGCTAAAAACCGAAAGAAGTTTAAGAGTTTACACTCTTGTTACTGCCAAGACGGTTTTAATTGAACTTTTACAAAAGTTTGTTTGCTTTCGAACAGTAGCCCTGAGAAGGCTAGTAACCGAAAAGAGTTTAGGAGTTTTCACTCTGCCACTGCTAGGACGGTTTGAATTGAACTTTTACAAAAAGTTCGTCAGCTTTCGAACGATAGCCTTGAAAAGGCTGGAAACCGAAAAGAGTTTAGGAGTTTGCACTCTGCCACTGCTAAGACGGTTTGAATTGAACTTTTACAAAAAGTTCGTCAGCTTTCGATAGCCTTGAAAAGGCTGGAAACCGAAAAGAATTTCAGAGTTCGCACTCCGCAATTGACAAGTCGGTAGTCTCGATCTTTAGCAAAAGTTCGAGGTCTTTCGAAATCCTACGTGAGATGGTCCTGAAAAGGACCGAGGCCGAGTTGGCGTGTACAAGTTCCAAATTGTTTAGTTGGTGATTGATGTGGATTGGGTGGTAGCCGAGATCCGATGTTGTTCCGTAGTCAACTCTGCAACAGAAGGTTGGAAACCCCGTTGAGCTCGTAAACTTGGCTGCGGTGACTCTGCGATGAATTTGTCTTGGCCTTGCTGGTCAGTTGTGGCCGGAAAGTCCAGGCCGCACTCGTTGAATGGGAAAGATCGAGGCTCGAAGTGGCCGATACTTAAGCCCTGGCGGGGATAAGTAGCTTGTGGGTGCCGGCGCTGCGCCACCTAGCGGTCGCTAGTGAAGCTTCCCAGCGCAAGAAGTGGGAAGGAGGCTTGGAAAGGAGCGAGAAATAATAAGATTGAGTATATGTGTTTAACTCAGGTTTATTAACGTTCCCTAGGCCAAGCTCTCGCGGGCGAGCGAGATCCGACTCCGGAAAGTCCAGGAGTGGAACTGCGTGCCGAATCGAATCGGCGCTGTCTTTTATACCGCTGGCCGGTCGGCGCGCGAGCCGGCAGCGGCCAAGTGGCGGAGTGGGGATACGCACGCAGGAGTCTCGTGTCGTTGGCGTATATCAACTCAAGGACACGATGAGAAACCTACTATGAATGTAAAAAGCCTGGTAAAAGCCTTAACAAATGTGAAATCAACCAAAATCTATACTATAAAGGAAAACCTCATAAAATAACTAGAAAACACTTATTAAAACAGACGAAATACACAAAAGCAAACACTTGAAATCCTTCAAAAAGAGCACCAGAAGATAAAATAAAAGAAAACAGGTACAAAAGCAACTTCAAAAAGACTATCAAAACACAAAAAAATTACACAGAAAAGCTTAAAAAATCCAAAACGACGTTCGCAGTTACGCTGCTCGCTTTTGAAATCCGCCCGACGGGTTACGCTTTAGATGATCTAGGAACAAAAATAAAGTCAAAATAAAGCAAAGCAACCATTTAGAAAAAAATCCACCGAAACTTAGGTTGTTTAACACACAGCGTCGCGCGACTTTTTTCGGCAAATCCTGTGCAGAGCGGTCTCGCCTTCCGCATTGGCTATGTTCGAATCGGCGCCGTTTCTCAGTAGAAATTCGATCAAGTTCTCGTGGCTCGCGCTGCAGTTCGCGGCCCGGTGTAGAGGCGTGTTCCCCGACTTGTCCCGAGCGTTGAGTCGCAGCGGCCGATATCTTTCGTCGCTCATCTCTAGCAACATCCTCGCCACGTCTTTGGATGTAGAATCCTGAAAATGATTACCCACGATGTGCAGAGGTGTCGATCCGTGCTTGTTGGCCCGATTCGGGTCGGCGCCGCTTCTCAAGAGCAACTCGATCGGTTCTACGTTGGCCGTGGTCAGGGCCAAGTACAGCGGCGAGTCGCCTGTTTTCTCCACGCACAGATTCGGATCGTGGCCTCGATCGAGGAATTTCTTGACGACGTTGACAAAGTTGAATCCGATGGCCGCGTGGAAATGCGAGTAACCCGACTCGTCCGTGTAATTGACGTCGAAACGATCATAGATCTTAAAGAGCTCGTTAATCACTGATCGCGCTCTCTTGGGAAAGTTTAGGCAGCGTGATCTATGCTTAGCCACGTAATGTATCGGCGTGGCGCGGCGCAGCTGCTGTGGGTGCTGCAGGCCGCCTTCGTCGAATTCGGGCTCGTCTCTGTAGCCGCACGAAGCCACGAACTCGATGATCGTTGCTCGTCCATCGTCGTACTGGTTGATGCAGTCCTCGAGTAGCAGCTCGATTTCTCGGGGCTGACAAATGTCCCGAAGATTAGGACGTTCGCCCTTCCAATCGCCGATCAAGTCGTAAAATTGGCAGAAAAATGTAGGTCCAATTTCCCCATTGAATTGTTTTCGTAAATTCTTCAATCTTTCCAGGGAGTGGCAGTTAGAAATGGACATTTTTAAAGATTTGTTTTTTTTTTTCACTAAAAATCACTTGATAGGTTTAACACTTGGATGTTCTCACTTCGGTGTTTTAAAGTGTACTGACTTTGAATGCACTGCGATCTATATAGAGACTGTTCAGAACATGTGGTTGGAATTAAACTTTCACTTTTTCACTCGGTGAGATAAACCCGATATTCGAAGTTGTTGTCGCTTCGTCGTTTTAACTTCTATACTGGCTTTGAATGCGCTACGATCTATATCGTCGCCCCAGCGAAGGAAGGTATCTATTTCCAAGCTCTAGCAAGAAGGATACTTACTCGCGCGCAGAGGCAAAAAGGTATCTAACTCGAGCGCAGCGGCAAAAAGGTATCTAATTCGAGCGTAGAAGCAAAAAAGTAGCTAATTCAAACGAAGTGGCAAGAAAGTTTTTGCTCGCTGAATTTAGGTTGGCAACGCAGACGTAAATGATAAAATTTTGTTTCAAAATTCAACATTCAACATTTAATTCAAAGCTATGTAAAGCCGATAACTTCTACTTTCTTTTCATAACATACAAAGTTCTCCATAAGTGGCAAATTGAGTCGAAATCATGGTGAGATTGATTTGTTTGCTCGCATTACAAATGGATGAAAATCATTACACTAGCTCAATCGTTTTTTTCTCTTTTTTGCTCTAATACTAAACAAAATTTTATCATTTACGGCTGCGTTGCCAACCTAAATTCAGCGTGTCAAAACTTTCTTGCCACTTCGTTTGAATAAGCTACTTTTTTGCTTCTCGCTCGAATTAGATACCTTTTTGCCGCTGCGCTCGAGTTAGATACCTTTTTGCCTTTGCGCGCGAGTAAGTATCCTTCTTGCTAGAGCTTGGAAATAGATACCTTCCTGCGCTGGGGCGGCGATATGATGTGTTCCACGCTCGACCAGACAGTGCGCTCGCGCGGGGCATTTTTCAATGTATCGTAACTTTTCTAACTCGCCGTCGCCGGCGCAATTGGGCCTGAAAAAATATTGCGCCTATGCATTCCGATCGATTTTTGTCTGTTCTTTCCAATGGTGGTATCAGTTTTTCAAAAAAAGGTAATTTTCATGGAAAAAATTGACTTCAAAGTTAACTCAATTTTTCGGCAAGTATACCCTCTTCGATTTTATTCGTAGATACCTAAATCGATAGGTAATCTAAAAACGATGGTTTTAAAAAAATTCAAGTTAGAGACTCGAACGGTTCGAAAGTTATGAACAATTAAGTAGCAAAAAACGTGGTTTTACGGCTGCGCGCGTCTATTATAAAAACTACGTTTTTTGCTATTTAATGGTTCATAACTTTTGAACCGTTTGTGCCTCTACCTTAAAATTTTTTTTAAAACCTTCGTTATTAGATTAACTTTCGATTGAGATAGCTTCGAACAAAATCTAAAGGGGTATACATGCAGAAAAATTGAGTTAACTTTAAAGTCAATTTTCTCCATGAAAATTAACTTTTTTTGAAAAACTGATACCACCATTGGAAAGAACGGACATATATCTATCGGAATGCATAGGCGCAATATTTTTTCAGACATAATTGCGCCAGCCACAACGAGGTAGAAAAGTTGCGATAAATTTAAAAATGCCCCGCGCGAGTATATCTATATGGGTCAAAATAATACTTTTTTACAAAACCGTGCGCACGTATGTCACCGATCTTGACGCGCTTTTGGTATGTTATAGTACATGGTAAAAAGGTCCCAAAAAAAAATTGTTAGACCCCCTCCCCCCTCCTACCCCCCACTTCCGGTATAAACGTCCATTTTCGATCTATATTTTTTCTGAGGACATGAAGCAAGTAAAAAATCTGAAAAAATTCATAAAAATACTTTTCCACAATCCAAACAACCTTGAATTTTTTCAGATTTTTTGAGTGCTTCAGGCCTTCAGATAAAATCATTGAAAATTTCAAAAATCGAGATACGGCGGTATGAGCCGATGTAGTACTCGGAAATTTTTTCAGTTATTTTTCGCATTAAAAAACATAACCTCAATTTTTTTCAGATTTTTTCAGATTACCTAACGCACCTTTTGAAGCCAAAAACCGATTTTTTTGACGAAAATAATTTTTTTAGGACAGTACGGAGCCTCGAAAAATCTGAAAAAAATTTTTTCTTGTTTTTTTCATCAAAATACGTAATCTCAAATTTTTTCAGATTTTTTAATTGAAGGCGATAGCTTCTAGGGCCGAAAAATGCTATTTTTAACAAAAAATGGTTCCTAGAACCCGATGGTTCCGGTGAAAAAATTTGAAAATATTTTTTTTGAATTCCTTGTCAAATTTTAATAAATTTTGACCGTTTCAAAAGTTCGATTGAAGCTTCCTAGCTCATTTTAGAGCATCAAACGAGTTTTATCATTCCTTAATGTCTTCAGAAACGTCTTCAGATATTTTGCACTAATCTTTGTGATGCTCTAAAATGAGCTAGGAAGCTTCAATCGAACTTTTGAAACGGTCAAAATTTATTAAAATTTGACAAGGAATTCAAAAAAAATATTTTCAAATTTTTTCACCGGAACCATCGGGTTCTAGGAACCATTTTTTGTTAAAAATAGCATTTTTCGGCCCTAGAAGCTATCGCCTTCAATTAAAAAATCTGAAAAAATTTGAGATTACGTATTTTGATGAAAAAAACAAGAAAAAATTTTTTTCAGATTTTTCGAGGCTCCGTACTGTCCTAAAAAAATTATTTTCGTCAAAAAAATCGGTTTTTGGCTTCAAAAGGTGCGTTAGGTAATCTGAAAAAATCTGAAAAAAATTGAGGTTATGTTTTTTAATGCGAAAAATAACTGAAAAAATTTCCGAGTACTACATCGGCTCATACCGCCGTATCTCGATTTTTGAAATTTTCAATGATTTTATCTGAAGGCCTGAAGCACTCAAAAAATCTGAAAAAATTCAAGGTTGTTTGGATTGTGAAAAAGTATTTTTATGAATTTTTTCAGATTTTTTACTTGCTTCATGTCCTCAGAAAAAATATAGATCGAAAATGGACGTCTATACCGGAAGTGGGGGGTAGGAGGGGGGAGGGGGTCTAAAAATTTTTTTTTGGGACCTTTTTACCATGTACTATAACATACCAAAAGCGCGTCAAGATCGGTGACATACGTGCGCACGGTTTTGTAAAAAAGTATTATTTTGATCTATATATATGGCCGATTCTCTGTGAAATCGAATGGCCAAAAAATTTTTTTTTCTGCAAATATGAAAAACTTGCTGTTTCCGATGTCAGAAATGTCCCCAAATTTTATTAGAATTTTTGGGACCATCTATCACTCTTTTTCAGGGGCCCGAAGTTGGCCATTTAAGGGTTTTTTTGAAATTCATGAAAAATCACAAATATTCAAATAATTCCTGGATCAGGGTAGAATGATTCAAAAGTAAAAGTGCCCAGCAACTTTTTTGTTGGAAATTGTCCAAATTTTCAGAAAAAAAATATGCCAAAGTGATTGAAGCCACCCAAAGAGAGCATAGTGGGAAAACATAAAAAAAAAACACAAAACAAGAAATCTACTCGAGTTCGAACCGGACTTTCATTTCCTAAACTATGTGAAAAGCTTCCTAAAGATGTCAACTAATGCCTGATAAAGTTTTGTAATGGGTCTTAAAGTTTAACGCAATGTAGACAACAATGTGTGGCGAAAAACATGCAAAAAAGGTCAAAAATAGGCCCAAAATGCCTAAAATCACCAAAAACAGCCATTTTCAAAGATTGTGCGAAGGCAAGAATTAAGCTAAAACTTCTTCGGGCGCCGAAGTTGACACACGTGTGGTGTAGTCCGGGTGAGACGAGAGAGTGGCCGATCGATCGTTCGTCGACGAGATCCAAGCTCGATCGACTTCTCTCACTCTCGGCCGATCGACGCGCGCAGCTCGCGCTGTCAACGATCATCGCTGCTTGGAGAGAGACCCAAGCAGCGCCGTGAGCGACGTCTCTCGTTTTGCTGGGATGAAGGCGCCACATATATGTCGCTTCTCCTTCGCCGCCGGCCCCCACCACCGCTGACCGCTGTAAACTAATTTTTCGATATTGTAAACAATTTTACACTTATACTTGAAAAGTTTAAAGTGTATTTAGATGTTAAATTTCCCGAGGAATCGATTGGTGTAATTAGTTTTTCTGTATCTTGCTTCGTTCGCGAGATATTAGCGGAAAACTCTTTCACCCTCGATTTTCACCCTGACGCTGATGTTTTAGGTAAAAATTAACATCGGCCATGAATTCAGCATACCCATAAACATAAAGTAGACGAGGTTTCATCTCTCCCCAACAAAATGCAATTTCATGTAAGTTTTCACTGGACTAATTCGATGATGTTGTCGCTTCGACGTAATTTTTAAATAAATCGATGAATCCTAACGTTTTTGACCTTAAATTAAAGCTTGGCTGCTCATCTTTCAAAATTAATGCTCAAACATGTTATAACGACACCTCGACCCTTATGAAAATCGAGAAAAATTTTTTCAACAAAATTAAGTAAAAAAAAATATGAAAAATTGTAATGACTTTTGAAATATGAAACAGATCGATATGAAACTTTTTCGGGCTTCATCCTTGCAACAATCGACAATAAATTCAATTTAATTCAGTAAGATTTACCATCCTGTTTTCGAAAAAACTTATTCTACCGCCTTTTAATTTTTTTTCTTTTGCTTCAATCATAATCGGTCGATGATCTCCCATTTACCTACCGAATCGATTGAAATAATGTCACATTAATCATTGATGAATTAATTTTACTATCGTTAATCATTCTAAATTTACATTATAAATTCAAGACGGAGAGACTTCTCTGCACACAATTTGCCAAGGAGATAACGACGACGACTTGGCGACGACGTTCTTCGAGATCAACGACGAATTGCACAGATCGGTGCTGACAAGTGAAGACAATTGCGTTCTGGCTGACGAGCCAATAAATAATACAAAATGTAACGACATCAGATTGAACATATTTTACTATCACAAAAAGAAAATTTCCACT